GTGGTGTTAGACGATAAAATACATACACTAGCTCACGGGATATTATATTTGGTGTAAGTTTTTATAATACACTACTATCATGAGTTTTATTATGTCTCAGAAAACTATCTTTGCGTGTAAACGTAGATGAACACTTTTCACATTTAAACATTATGAAAACAATAAAATGTTTAAACACTTGTAAAAATTTTAAAACGCTGAAAATTTTTTAAGTTGGAGCGAGCGAACGAGATCGATAAATGTGTCGGGGCAGACTGAACCGCTTCAGCTACACTCGGTGATATATAAGCAGAGGTACACTATGAAGAACTAATGCTTATTGTGGAAGATACTTGTATTATAAGTGTATATTAAAATATAATTAAGAAATAGATTATTATAGCAAAGAACTAATGTTTCCTTGTGTGAATAGAAAAATATTGAATACGAATAATATCTAATGACAGGAAATATACGACGGTAGCGCCATCGATATAAAAGGTTTTGTAGTGTGTAGTATATTTACTTGAATACGGATAATATATCTATTATTGATTGATTGACAATTTACATTATATTAAAATACGTCCGGCAGAAGATACTAATATCGGTTTTAATGTGTTTTTCACTAATAGGTATCGCTAAGTATACCTAGCTAATGTTTCTTATTGTCGAATGTGTCTTTCAGTAATAATATTAGTATTTAATTGAATCAGGATACCTATTGGTCTATTCCTGTAAAAAAAAAAATATGGGATACGAATAATATCTAATGGCAGGAAATATACGACGGTAGCCTCATATATATGTTAAGACGGCTGCAAACGGTGGCTATTAAGATTAATCCTGGCGATTAAAAACCATTAATGTGTTATTCACTAATAGACATTTGCTAAGTAAAAGTCTGCGACATTCTGGCGACAAAGAAGTGAATCGGTTTGGCACATTAAGCAGATGGTTAAAATGGACATTCATTTCGAAATCACCTAATGGCAGAAAATGTCTCTTATTGTTAAGCTAAAGCGTGTGAATATCGGTTTTTAAGTCTATTCTGTTTAGGAAATCACTAATATCGGGTATTAATGTATTTTTCTTTAATTGTTTATCGATAAAATTGAATACGGGGAAAGTGTCTTTCAGGGTCATTGTGTGAGGATGTCTATATTATTATTTTTCTAAAAATATAAGAAGGAACTATACGTCGTTAGAATATTTATTTGATTATGTATATTATTTAGCGTGTATTAAATATATATACTATATTGTTCAATGGGTTAGGGAAGGAGGTATCCTCCCGGTTCGATTCTAAAGCATAATATTATATTTTTAAATTCATATATATGATAAAAATATATGTTGATTAAATACAAGTCCGCGGAAAAAATATATGATAACATGTGATAACTGATAACAAATGATAACAGTGATAATGTATGTAGCGCACATTCGCGATCGGTGTCGGTGGCGGTGGTGTTTGAACTCTCCTTTTTATCCTACTTAAGCACCTCTGCTAAATCATGTTCCTCTAAGTCTTGTGCTTCACAGAATAATTTTGTTTCTGTAAATAGGTTCGCATATACTGATTCAGTTTTCATTGCTCGTAAATCTTGTATTTGTTGTCGAGTTACTTTAATTAAATGTATTGCTTGAATTAAATCGATGGCAAGATTTTGTAAATAATTTGATAGAGGTGTAGTAATTGAGAATATATTGCGCATCATATGTATTGTAAGAACAAATTTGAAAGAATTAAGTTGCTTTAAAAAACTATTAGCTAAATGTCTGTTTTTTTTTGTCAGTTTCTTCAAGGCCAATTTTTTTAATGTTAAAATAATTGATTTATAAGTGATTTGTTTAACTTCTAAAGAACGGTCATGGTATGTCCATCTCGTAGCAGAAAAACTACTAATTGTACCAAATAAGTCTTGAGCACATTCAGTTGCTTCACAACTATCAACGACTGCTAAATTTAAGCAATGTGCACCACACCATACATGTAGTGTACTTTTATTTTCATTTTGTATTAATGAGCGTAATCTTTTTACAGCTCCTTGCATATTAGATGACCCATCATAAGCTTGTCCAATCAGATCATGCCTTCAATTTAAGTTATATTTGTCACATACTTTACAAAATAACTCATACATCCCATTTTCAGTTGAATCTACTGTTTCATCAACACAAATTAATCGCTTTTTTATAAGCCCATCGATTGTACAATACCTCAATACAAAAGCAAATTGGTCGAGCTTTGTCACATCAGTTGTAGAGTCCAATATAAGTGAATACATTCCAGCTAGTTTCACTTCTTTTAAAATTGTTTCACGGATCGATTCAGCTATATAGTTGAGTATAGAATTTTGTGATGATTTAGATAGAAATGTCAATCTTTGTTTTTTTGTTGATGATTTAATATTTTCCAAGTGTGTAGCTAAAATTGTATGATGTTTGGCAAAAACGTTAATCCAATCTAGAAATTTTCCACTTGTACCATTAGTTAAACACTCAGTATGGCATCTGATTACATCATTATGTTTGGATAAACATAACATTATATCCATTAATACATAACTGCTCTATTCATTGCAACATGCTTATTATTAGAATTCATTAACTGAATATCAACACGATTATTATTTATGTACATTATTTTATTTTATTCAGCTTCTAAGTGATCTTTACAAGTTTCATGTAAATTAATTGGACCATATAAACCACCTAAATGTCCCCATGAATTGCAAACTGTAGTTATAAAAGAGTTTTTTTGAGCTCTAATTCTAATAGAACTAAACAATTTGCATGTCCAGCAATAAATTATATTCATTGCAGGCGAGTATATAATCCACGATCGATGTTCAGAATTTCCATTAACCAACTTTGTATAATATGATGTTGAAAAAAAACGTGGTAGATTTGATTCATCTTTAGGAAATTTACCATTGGGTAAATTGGTAGCAACTGGTTGGTGGCATGGGCCCATTTCTAATTGAATTAACTTCAATCCAGGTGTGATTGATTTATTCATAAATAAAACTGGATCATTTTTAAACATTGACGAAGTTGATTGTAAATTATTAACAGATTCATAGATATCAGGAGACTCAACATCTAAAATTGTACAATATTATTAGTTAGGTATCATAATAGTTGTATATAGTTTAGTTTCATTAAGCTCTTTCAATATCCACAAAATTGAATTTATATATTTTTATTTACTGACTGTTTGACTATTATAATTTAAAATGTTGATTAATTCTTAAAAATTGTATAAGTACATGTACATACCTTCTGTATCATTGGAAGTATTTAGAACAATCGATACGTTTGATTTATCTTCTTCTCCAATAACTACATCAATTTTCGAATGTTCAGTTTTCTCAAAGCTACTTGCATCTATTTCTAATATATTTAAGATTATTAGATAAAATCCAAATCATTAAATAAATAAATGATATTGATGATATTTAAAAATGAATAAACAGATTATATTTGAGAATAATATAATTTAAAATGTTTATTAATTCTTAAAGAATATATAAATACTATAACTATAAACACACCTGTTTTGTCAGGAACACAAAGTACCTTAAATTCATTTAATTTCTCCTTACCTCCTACATAAATGTTTAAATATTTAGTTCCATCACAGCTACTTGCATCTAATACATTTAAAATTACCATTAAGAGTGCATCACAGTAGAAAAAAATCGACCGTAAAACATGCTTTCGTACTTCCAATAGTTCTCAGGCCTCGTTGATCGTAGAAACATGATTTTGGTATCAAAATAATCACGAGAAGTTGTACTAAATATTCTTGGAACAGAATTTTAAAATATTTTTTCTAACCAATTTTATTTGTTTTTGAAGTTTGTAAAATTTTCATTTTTTTAAAAAATTATATAAAATCGGCAAATTTAGATATCAAAAATTTGTTCCAAGAGTATTTAGTACAACTTCTCGTGATTATTTTGATAACAAAGTCATGTTTCTACGATCAACGAGGCTTGAATACTATTGGAAGTACGAAAGCATGTTTTTGGAAAAAAAATTATGAATTTGCCGTCGTCATGTGCTGCTAAACCGATTATAGCGGCAGCGTTCTGAAATAGTACTTCTTTCACGGTTGCATCCAAAAACCGCACACTTTTGATTTTGACCCTAAAAACGTCGATAGCCAAAAACCGCACAGTTTATCGGTCATTGTATAACAAATTACCGTACATTTATAATGGGTTAAAACCGCACACTATTTTTAGTGAAAATAGTGAAAAGATAAGATTATAAGATATTTACTATTCAATAATCAAGTATTTAGTTTTTTAAAAACGTCGGCAGTCGGTTTCAGCCAATCAAACTTTGAAAGTTTTAAATTTTTTTAAAATTTTTTAAATACCTATACATTTTTAGTTTTACATTTTTTTTTTTTTAATTAATATTTTAAATTATTGAATATATACATTTTTAAGTTGATATTTTTTTTAAATTAATATTTAAAATTTTTAAATACATACATATTTTTTTATGAACTATGAAAATAATGAGAACAAATAATTAATTATACATAATAATACGCGTTTTTTGTTTATCGACCTTTTTGGGGTCGTCAAAATCTTAACTGTGCGGTATTTTGGATACGACAATTTTTAAAATGTGTGCGGTTTTAACCTACCAAAAGTGTGCGGTTTTGTCCTGTTATTTATCAAAAGTGTGCGGTTTTTGGAGTCAACGTCTTTCACCACCCCGCTTGCAACAGCAGCCGTACCGCATCAAAGGTCAAAACTGGTTATTTATCGTAGCACGGGTTATAAATAGCCAAATACGTCAATACGAAATTAATAATTTTGTCAATGAATAATATTATTTTATTTTTCGAAGTTATAAATCGTATTCTTATTACTATCGTATTTTGCGCAAAATGGAACTACATAATATTATATTGTAAAATTGTCACACATCAGCTAGAAAACGTACGATTTAAACAATTTTTTTTTTCAATTATAGACAATTGTTCCATAAAATTAGCGTATTGATATTCAAGACGAATTTTTTAAAATTTAAATTAGTTTAACTGTATAAGTAAAAAAAGGTAGCCAAGTGGGTGTCGCTCTGCTTTACAGTAGGTTACAAGTGAGTCACTACATACCTCCTGGATTGTGTTAAATTTGAATTCAGTGATCAAATATTGTATAAGAAAAACCAGGGCCGGATTTAGGAATGTGGGGGCCTTGGACCCATCCTTAGAAGTAGATATTTTTTTCGATTACATAATAATATATTTAATAACCAAAATTCCAAATAACTAGAATTTTGGTTAGGAAAAAACAATAATTTGTTGTAATGAAACAATAAAGATAATAAATAAGCAAATTGCATTTATTAGATTATAATATGTACTGAAGTTCCAAATCTGGACAGAGTCCTTCACTCCGCAAGAAAGGTATATGAGCCTAGACTCGTCCCCTTTCAGGCAGAGGCACCAGATACTTTTCGGGAAAAGTATCAGGCATCGTCATATGAGGACAGTTGTAAGGCCGTCCACCAGTCTCAGGAAAGGAGTTCTTACGCCCCTCGCCTTAAACGTGGGTTTTCAAATGACTACCAGTTTGGTATCGAGATGTATCAAATCTCTCTACTGACCACTGGTAGGGCCGCGGAACTATCCAACCCGCTACTTAATATGGTTTAAGCAACCGCCAGGTGGTATACTCCCACCGGCAGAGTGGCTGAGTTCCCGGGAGAATACTCACCGTTAACCTTCGCCTGATCAGCATGCGATCAATAACCACTTTCGTCATTTACATGACAGCCACTACGAATCCGATCCCAGACGTCCACACCAGGTTTCCCCGATGCTTGGTTCCAGACGTCGTTCCCGTAGTACTTATTCCTAATTTTAATTAGGCGTCTAAAGTGCGACGTTTCGGCTAGACTTCCATCATGGCCTGAAGCTAGGTTGTTTCGCCTCCCTACTATTTACTTTTACAGATACTCGAGGGCTAGTGGTTGGCCCATAACGCCGCGCTCGCGGGTTACACGGTGGTCGTGACCCCTCATTTTATTTTGAAATAGAGTGAGTACTCTATTCACCACGCTCCGCCTAGCGTCTACAGGCCCGAAGACCGTGCATCTGAACCACGCGCCCCAGGCGCACCTAGTGTGAACACGTAGGTCACTGGAGAGAAGAGCCAACAGAACTTACCCCGAGGAGCAGTTTCCACTGTCTCTTCTACCATCACGCCGATCGACTCTGCACCTCGCATCCCAGATGCCTACTCAGTCCAGTCGGACGAGCCACGGCCGCCGGAATTGGCAGACATCACCCCGAAGGGTTTATTCACACCATTTCCCATGCCGTACCTTTGCTACCGCTCCGCGTCCCAGACGCCCTCAGCTCTTGCGAGCGTGAGTCTAGACCTCATCTAATGAGAGTCCCACAACATGACCGCGAACGACCGACACCTCCGTCATGAACCCACGAAACTCTTTCCAGAGCTCCGGGGAATTCACGAGGACGCGCGGCGAACACGGCCACTGTAGGTCTCTCGCCTCCACTAGGTCTATTAGTGCCCATCTAGCGCCCGCCAGTGCATCACACTCGAAGACGACGTGTTCCATCGTATCCGAGCTTCCGCATAGCTGACATTCGTCGGTCTCTGACTTAGAGAAGCGTAGGAGGTAGGACCTAAATCCCCCATGTCCCGTTAGGAACTGGGAGGACTCATGGTCCACCTCCACCCAGCTACACTTCAACCTTTCTTTCACGCATGGGAAGTAGCTATATGTGAGTCTACCCTTCTCACTAGCCTCCCACCGTGCTTGCCATTCGGCAATTCCTTCCTCCTCTACCCTTCTCATATGCTCCCTCCCGAGCCCTAACCTCCTACTCCTAGCCAAGCGATCCCATTGTCTAGCAGCCAGGTCCAGAGGAAGAACTCCCGCTAGCACAGGCAGGGCATCCGTTTTCGTGGTACGATATGCCCCCGTTACCGCCAAAAGCGCACCCCTCTGGGCTCCTAGCAGCAGACGTTTCATCATCCGATCGCCGACGGTTTCACCCCACACCGCAGCCCCGTAAAGCAGTCTCGGCACAAATACACCTAAGTATAATCTGCGCGTCGTCCGCCCACTAAGGCCCAAGGTTGAGGCTACTATACGCCGGATCCTCTGAAACATTGGTGCCGCTTTCCCCGCTACTCGTTTCACGTGGCTCCTAAAACTCCACCTATCGTCCAAGGTAACTCCGAGATAAACCATCTCTGTTACCTCCGCTATCCTCTTCCCGTTCATCCTAACTGTGTAGGGTGGAGTCAGTCTTCCCTTCAGACACATGACTTTCGTCTTTGTGGCCGAAAAGGTCAACTTCATACCACCCGCCCAGGAGCCTGCTCTTTTCAGTTTGGACTCTGCCTTTTGGATCACCTCTGATCTCGTCTTCCCGGCTACCATCAGCAACGCGTCATCCGCGTAACCAATAGATAGTTCTCCTTCCGATTCGTCAAGACTCAGTAAAGAGTCCATCAAAATGTTCCAGAGTTCCGGTCCGAACTGAGATCCTTGAGGACAACCCTTGGACAGCCTAACCTGGCTTCTCCCCGTCGGCACAGTGATACTGGCGTATCTGCCCCCTAAATAATCCCGTGTCAGCTCACACAATCTCTCCGTGGCTCCCAACCTTTTCAAGTGATGCAATATCGCCGGCCACCAGGCATTGTCGAACGCCCCAGAGATGTCCAAGAACACTCCGAGGACGTACTTCTCTGCCCGACTTTCGGTCCATTCCCTCATTCTTAATATTGCATCGGTTGTCGATCTGTACGCTCTGAAGCCGTATTGATTATCGTTCATACTCGGACCAATCTTTTCCCTCAGTCTCACGCATATTAGATACTCCAATGCCTTTGACAGCACCGGAAGTAAGCTAATCGGGCGATATGACTTTGGGTCAGATCTATCCTTGTCACGATTTTTCAATAGTGGTACCACCACCGCATTCTTCCACCCTTTCGGAAATCGGGCCCTTCTCCAACACTCGTTGAAAAGAGTGGTCACTATTTCCGCCATCACTGGGAAAGCCACTCTGAGGATTCTGGCTGTTAGACCATCCTCCCCAGGGGCTTTATCCCGTCCCATGCGCCATATCGCCCTTCGCACCTCCTCCTGAGAAAATTCCTCCCAGTGGATGCTCTCACTTTCTCCACTCCAGGCCGTTTCTTCAGTTTCCCCAAGTTGCACACCCGTCTCCTCACGAAGCCGTTTGTGTTCCTCGGTTTCACCGTCGATCGTGTCCGGGGGAATTAAGGTGTTGAGCAGTACGTCCAAAGTTTCGACCAGGCCCACCGTGCACCCACC